AACTTATTGGACGCCGTTACCATACCATTGCAAGATCCCAAAACTCAATATGTGGATGAAAGTGAGGACGGATTTCCGGCGTTTGGTTTCCGAATGGGAGCAGATGTGAAAATGGCATACAGACAGATATTGCCGGATACATTAAGTGAAGAGTTCGCAATCCTTATAAACGCCAAGCCCGGATCAAGAAATGGTGGATTTGTTTTTGCCGTTGTCAATGCCATGGAATCCATTGTCGAACTGGGTAAGACTCAAAATTTTTTTACATTTGTTCCCTCAAAATTAACCAATTTCCATTTATGCGTGCGGTAGAAAAAGTGCTTTGCCGGCCAACTGTTCATATGGTACTCTGCTATTTAGTTGAAACGCAACTCTATCAAATCCTAACTTATAGGATAAAGGTTGTAATAACAGGCTCCTTCTTGCACGTAACTTCTATTATTATGAAGTGGGCCGACTTCATTCTATTGAAGGGAACATAAGGGTTCAGTTTTAGAATATAAATCATATCCCCAGACAATTTGGGACTATAAATTTCGCCATATTTTCAGAATTTGCTTGGAACTTCGAGCTCCATTGACAACCTTATTCAGTTCAATATAAAATTGTCGAGCAAACGATATATTTTGCGCAAAATTATTATCTAGGGAGGCACTAAATAGTTGGCGTGAATATAAAGGACGTGCTATAAAGAGTGTAGCATGCAATGCATCAGAAGTACCCTTTCGGCCCAATCTATCACTTTGTTTTTTGCGAGTTTTATGTAGTTCAGGTGTTATACATCTTATTTTTCACAACTTTTCTCAGTAGATGTATCCATAGCTGTGGTGCCAATACGAAGGCACAACGCATCACATTACACCTGAACTTTTTGAGAACTTCAGCTGTTATGCATTTATTATTTAGTAGTTGGCTAAGAATAAGTTGGTTCCAGTCAGGTTTAAATAAGCAAAGTTAAGTTTTACTCTTATTTATGCACGCGCGAAGTTTTGACCAAAAAAATATGCCGGGTAAAGTTTGAACAGTTTGCACAGACCGGTTGGAGTTCCCTAAATTTTTAATGGTATAAAACAACATTCTTATTTAACGACCTGAGTTTTGACGAGAAAGACCTTTTTCGCATGTAATCAGAACTTCCTCACGCCGGCTTAATTTGACCTTTCTCGGATGTAAAATCCAGATGCTCCATGTGAATTTGAATTAATCATCCTCATTGCTTTATTAAACTGCCGTTTGCTTTTCTTTATTAATTTGAGGTAGTCAAGATTATGTCAGTCATTTTTTCGCGGACTTGGATGAGAGTTTATTTCATAAACCCAACTCAATTAATGGTCTAGTTTGTCTAAGATCTTTTTAGATCTATAATGAAAATAATAACATTAGCGTATTTGTTAATTAATTGACGTTCAAATCTTTTGCCATAATCAAATTAGGAACCGTTATGTTTTCTGTATCCGAAATAACCGAATCTACTATTGAAGAAACTTTGGAGTAACTTTATTACGAACGTTTTAATGGTTAAATGCAGATCAAATTGGCATTCGAGCAAGACAAACGCTTGTTTTGAAATTTAGTAAACGTACAGCCAATTTTTAAAGTATCCAGCACTTACTTAGAATCGTTTGCCTTGAAAAGATATAAATAAACTAAGTTCAAACTTTTGGTCACATCTTATTTATTGACAATAACGGATTTAGAATAGAGCTTTAATCCAAATATTCTCTGTATTAGTCGGTAGATGTTTCAACATATTCAAGCCCAGTTCGGTCTCTAACAAAAATCAGTCTTCTGTTACTATTTACCTGGTCGTAAACTATAAGTATGGCCAACGGTTACTAATGCTGAATATTACATTTGTGCTTATTATACATGTTTAATATTTTATACTTTTTTTACGTTGTTTTGGAATTTCCTATTCCCCTGACTGGTTGGATTTTGGAATACACATTTCTATCGGCGCAAAGGCGAATATATCAAATTAGCTTTATAATCTCCCGGCAATTGTTCAATCGACTTAATATTTCATGTACATAATCTGGAGCTTGCATTGCTCTGACATCTGCATTTTAGATGCAAAACAGAAACTCTCAGCATGTTATCTGAATTATTCAGCACTGATAATAATGAAAATTTCATAATAATTATTAAACTTGGATTACCAAGCGGAAATGTTCGATTGTATGAACTTGTGCTGTCTGAGAATCTTTCGGTTTGAAGATATGGACAACCCACTGCAAATATGAGTACAGTTAGTGCAAGTTAGTAAATTATCTGCTCAGGAATTTAACCGATTTCTATTTTATATTAAAGAACCGAATAATATTAGAGAACAACAGCCGGGGTATGTAGAGAAGTTTTCATTTAATTTTAACTTTTTTATAAATATTAATCATACTACTAAATTTGCTTAAATCAACCCTCTGCAAAAATACCAAATAAGATTTTATGCGTTGACGGTAAACTGTAATGTATCTATAATGTTTCTTTAGATTAACCAGACGGAAAAAACAGATAAAATGATGATGATAAAAAAAATATAAAAATAAAGTAAATATTGAAACCGCTGTTTCGAGTATCTTAGCTCTCATCACCTGGGCTTAGCCTTAAAATAATACCACCGAAAGATGTGTTTGTATTTATGTTATGTTATATCGTTCTTATTCGAGTGTTCAAGCAGGTTCAGCAACATAGGAGGCATAATCATGTTCTTTATCGTTGCCACCCTAAGGTAACACGAATCTTGTACAAAAATGAAACATTAAAAATTATCAGATCGGCCATTTCTCCCCTACTAAAAAATATATGGGAAAATACAAGTACAAGTTTAGGGGTGTTATTTTCAGGCTGAACCCATATGATGAGACCGAAAGGTCTCTAAACCGCTCCTGGGAGTAAAACACGAGCGTTATAAATATTTTTGTAAGAAAACAAGTTGGGAATTCAATAGCGAATGGAGTTTTGTACCAAATATATAAGTTTGCATTGCAAGCTCGCTCATGTTTGCAGGAACTTCATTTTTTCTGCATTCTACTTGATATTCTATTATTCGGTGGTATATGTATTTATATATTTGCATTTCTGCTTGAAAGTTGTAAAATATTATTTAAAACTCTTTAAACAATTTAGTTCATACAGTTGAAGATTTATGATTTTGTTTATATAAAGTGAAGTGTGACCCTAAGTTTACCGATATCTATGTTTTGTAACTGCGATAAATAGAATTCACTTGTTTTGTTAAATAATGCCTAAAGTCGAGAAGAAAATAGGACAAATATTATTTTGCTTGATTTATCATTCTGTATAGGCTCTGGATGTATCTGGAAAATATAAAGTTAAATGCGGTTTAACTTTCTACAACATGAACAATTTTATTCCAATACCCAGTCTGTTTTAATTTAAATTAATTAAACAAAAATTAATTCGTAAAAAACTAATGAAGCCTATAACTTTACAGGATAAAATGGCGCAAGAAATATTCGATTTGAATTATTTCCAGATACGATATTATATCTATTGTGGTTAAGTTAATTAACAGAAAATTGACCCGTTGCAGCTCAAAATTTCCATTACTTTAAATATACCCGATTCTGTCTCGCCTTCATAAAGACATTATAGAGCTTTTAGACAATTTACATAGACGGAATTTGAAGAACAAACTTATAGTTAAATGAAAGCAAACAGGGCGAAAAAGGGTCATGGGAGAATAATCGTTTAAAACCTATTCAGCAACTATTAAGATTAAATAATATTTTCGGACTTATTCGTGCCTTAGACAGACTAAGAGTGTGACTTAAATAAAACAAAATAAAAGCGTGGCATAATATTGTTGCAGGCGTGAGAATTGCACCAGACAACGGGTCATCAACAATCCTCAGTCTTTTTTACACGGACGTGACCACAGACGTCACATCTCGAGCTCTTGCCAACTTTACCGTTCCGAAATTCGTCCAGAAATGGACAAAGTTTGCGTTCCGAGTAACGTTAGACGATGTTACCTTGTTTTTCAATTGCACCGAAACCGAAACTGTGTCAACGCAGAGAATGCCATTGAAGTTGAACTTTGGCTCAGCTTCGACACTATATTTGGCCCAAGCTGGACCGCTGATTGGTGATGCTTTCGAGGTAAGTTGGTTTAGAGTGTATATGTTTATTTGTCGCATATTGTCGAAGCTGTACGGATAACTGTTTAATATAACAAGTATATTTATTTTAAGGCGGTATACATTAGGTTTGAACTTTGTACACCACCTTTACCTTAAAAAACGTATTTTGGGCACTTAGTTTCCACATGCAGGCGCGGGTAATTCTCATACGCGGCTAAGAAAACATAGAGGGTCTAAAATTGGGTTTTAAGAGCTTGCGGGAATGATAGATCTATTTTGCGAAACATACATCAACTTTTGGTTGGATAGAATAATTAATAAATACTTAACTGATTGCTGTATTTTGTTACATAGTTGAGCTTTCAATTTATTTTCTAATCAGTTAACCATAATTTGAAAGTTTTATGGGTAAAAAAGAAAAAGCTAGAAATACCCACTTGTTGCATAAAGAATTATTATGTTGTTTTTTCGACCGACAGTTTGAATGAACTCTTAAACGCTCAAATAATGTTTATTTTAAAAAATGAGGACAGAAGTTCCTAAGTGTGTGGGTACAAAAGGTTTGGAAAGTGTTTCGTCACATCTTTCCAAAGTATTGAAACAAAATGTAATGCGTTATATTATTTTCACCAGAAAACCCCACATATACGTATTTGTGAAAATTATTTACGAACTATTTGTCTTGTAGTGATTGCTAAAAAACTGTCAATAAATCACATCCTAGAATTCTTATAATCCACGAAAAGTTTTTGTAAAAATTGATTACTATTTGCGTTGGAAATAAACTTTGTAAAAATTTAAACTCACATCTCTTAGATCATTCTGAACTGAAGCTATTTTAAAAGCTATGAAAAAGTGTGAAATAACTAAATGTATTTAAACCATTTAGGAGATGTTGTATTGAAAATGTGTCCGCTTTCCTGATGACGATGTTATGTACTACTTTTGAATTCTATTTATTTAAGTGACTGAAGCGAATGTATTTTGTTTAATTTTCTAACTATCCACTTAAATTGTCTTATTTTAAATATGTCTTATAACAAAATTAAAAATCCGTAAATCCAGGAACCTAATTTTAGTTCTCGTTGCAAGGACGTTGATTGCACAGCTGAATTATATATTAAATTTTTACACAATAATAAACTACCCCAATACTTAGTGGTATCCATAATGACGTTTTACACCCCACTTGTGGTTTTCTCTTATTTTCCCATAACTGTTCGTATGAGAGGGTTTTGTGAAAATCATTTTCAAGCTTCAATCAATCATCATATAATAATATTTCGTTCGGCAATATATCATTTGAAACAACAATTTGTTCCGCTTTGTTGCTTTTTCATCGGTGATTGATTTAATTGAATTTCTCCAGGTTTGTAGTACGATTTGAATTATTGCTTTGTACATTCTGAAACGCAGTAATTTCATTAAAACATTAGAAATTTGTATGAGACTGATCCATTGTGAGTGTATGTTACTGTTTCGTATTAGCTTCCAGGTTTCTGTCAAGAATAAATTACCTACTTTTTTAATGGCGGTTCTCCTATTGACACAAAGTGTTACTAAAACACTTCCCAGATATCCTGTTTAATAAATTAGCTTTCGTGAAAGGTATTTAACTAAATAAAAACATTTTATGGTTTTATTTGACCGACAATAAATCAGTCTGCGCGCCACTATAATCCATAACCCAGATCGAAACAAGGCGTGTATTAATTTCGGCTGACCGAGCCTATCAATCATCCTGTAATTCAATTGCGCTTTTTGATAAATTATTTGCCAGTTAAGTATTATTCTTTTCTTGTTATTGGTTTTCATTGTGCTCGATTTCGCATTAAGTGTAACTTGGACAGTTGTTGGCCCAGCGATTAGGATTATTAATTATCTTCGAGATGGTTTCTTAAAGTGCCTCTGTTACTGCTGAGAATTCGGGAATTGTTTGAAAACCTCGCCTTTTCCTCAAATTATCCATTAATACTGTTAGCCAGAGGATTTCTTTTTACGAAATCCGGGCCGCAGCTTGCTAATGTTCTGTATAAGTTTTTTGAGATTCTATATCAAGCAAATGCGCTACTTTGTTTGTCACTACGGCTTACTTTGTTATATAGTTGACGATTCACTAACGATCCTCTAAAGCTTAATGGTAATCACTACTTGAACTAGACACATTTTGAGTGTAATAATTTTATTATTGAACAGTCATGGATAAAGGCATCTTTGCCGTAAGAGAGAACATTTAATGTGAATAATCACCAGGACCAAGGATCAGCAGAATAAACCTCTATTATCTATTATACAAATTAAGGCATGGTTGATAGACCGAGCAAAATTGTATGTCATGAAAATTCACTTAAATAGTCATGATCTGTTGTTTAAAATATATTTTGAACATAAAGGGACCTTCATAAATAGTGTCCAAATCAAAGTTCAGGCTTTTCCTTTGCCGTTCGATGGAAAAGTGGATTTTATTTTCATCTTTCCTGCACTTGAAAGTTACTGTTTGGGTGGGTATTCAAGTGGGTACAAAATTTAAAAAGTAGGTGCAAACTGTGCTATTAACTTTTGCCACCATTCTCAATAATCATTTGTTTATAAATGTATGTTACCACAATTAAATATTACAAATTTGGGTGTTTCTTGGTAAAGAACAAAAAAGTGATCCGGAATTGGTTGTTGGAACACTCAAACAAGTGATTATCCATGAGTTTTCCCGTAAGTTTGTTATACTTAACTCTTTTCGGATCAACTGTCGGTTTCCTTCTGCTAATGTTCTTCCCAATAGCGTATTAAAATACCAAATACGTGCCATAAGTCGAGGATGTGTAATTACGTAATCGTTTATCAGTCATATTAAGCACATTTTCTGTATAGTAAAAATATATTCACTGTCCCAATTCAACGTTATACAGTTTTATCAAATACTTAATTCATGAAAGCGTGTAGGCTATTCCTAATTTTGAAGCAGCACGGACGTAATCCAAAGAACGAATGCATGTTTCTTTAAGTAAAATACACCAGAATAATGTGTATTTAGCTAAGTTTGAGATGTAGTGGAATTAATAAAGGATATTTCTTGAAAAATTAAAATTTGTGTTCTCGTTCCATTTTTGTTAGTTTCGGAAAATTTTCACCGATACTTTGACTTCCGCAGCGCTTCCCTTGCTATATCAGATGAATGAAAATTCACATAAACTTAAATTTTAAGGCTATTTTAAATGAAATAAATATAAATTTTGTCCGTTTGTTATCACTTATAGCTCTTACGATTTAGTACAGTAATATACGAACAATAATATTGTTTGATGATTTTAATTTAAATTAGAACTTACATCATAAATGACGTTAATATTTGCAATTGCAGTGTTAGTTAGTTAAATAAATATTGTTTTTTTCTAGTCCTTTAAAATATAATACTACTTTTAAGAAAGTTGCATGCAAAAAATACATTTAAATGACGCAAATAGGATATGCATGAATTGCGATATGCACTCTCATAGGTAAACAACCCACAACTGCTGAAAAGTTCCGTTTCGAAATATCTCGTTCGAATTACCCGTGGGGTGTTTTTTTCCTGTTTGTTCCATATCATTCGTCCATGTATTGGCACCCAAATTTCATTAATGTTAACCAACCTGCAGAGAAATATGGACGAACATATGAAGTTTCAGGAGATATGGCACAATTATCACAATGCTTTTATGCATTTGACGTGTTCGCTATATTTTAAGTGTTTCAAGAATTTCTGGCATATTTACGACTTTGAAATGTAATTAAAACGTGTTTAAAGGGGCATAACGAATGAAATTTATGTTTGTGTTCCAACGAATTAATTCCCAATATTGTATTCATTTTCACTAAGTCTCAGTCAGGGCGCAGCAACTTAATTGACTATTAAAAATGTGATTAATTCAAAATCGATCAATCCAACTTTATGCAGAAATGAGGCCTTTCTGTCCCTACACGTGCTGTTTCGCGTCCCACATACAGAATTCAACCGCATATGTTGATCACTTCTGCATACGTAGTAAAATTGTTAATTGATGTTAAAAATATTTATTGTGGGAGCAAATTAAAGTTTTTGAAACATCCTTTCAACTAAACACCAACTCAAACTATTTAATGCAAAACTACGGGCAAATTTACGTCTACTCGATTACTACAGGGTGTTACAAATTCGCAATACTATAATTACCAATTTTAATAAAAATAATTAGCACCGGATCTCGTAAAATTAAAAGGTATTTTAAGTAATGCTGAACCAAATGGTGCTGCCAAATACCCATTACTTCCCGAACAATATTCCGATTTCCGAACAAATAACTCAGTTAATTTTCAGGAGTTGGCACAGTGTTGCCTAAATCGCTTATTGCGTCAACCCAACGCACCGGCACAGTAACTCACCGGGGAAGTTGCGTTTCAGTCACTCATTGGGTAAAATTACTGCTAAGAAATGTGATGACCTTTTTTGGTTTTGCAATTCCAGCGCGGACCTCGTAGGGCTTTAAGTTTGTTGCGGGAACACATTTTGAATCGCATTTTTCGAAATTAAATTTCTCAGAAACAAAAAATACTCTTAGAGTTCAAAGTTATGCGTTAAAACTTTCAAAACTTCATTTAAATCCCAAGAAATCCTGAATTTTGGGCGCTTTGTAAATGTTGATTTGAAAATGAACGCTTTCACGCAACTTCCAAAGTAAAGCCAGTAGAAACTTGAAAGATTGACATTATGTACACGTTTTCGTGTGATTTTTTGGAACAATTCCAGCAGGGTTTCTTCTACCAATTCTCTAAAGAAAAATATAACAACGAACTCTGTGGCTCAAATGGTTCTTGAGCAACGTCAAAAAAAATGGGGTCATGTTTCAGTCGATTTCACAATTTGAGAAGAAGAGGCAAAACTAAAACTCTTTTTTAACAAAAAAACATAAAGCTGGAACCCAAATTTGCTTCTCTGAAACGGTTCTTTGGAGATGAGCTAGCCAAAAATACAAAGCCTCCCAAAATATTCCGAAAGTTTCAAAA